CAAAAGTTTCGATCCCAAAATTCCTCACAGCACTTCCCAACCCGATGTTTAAAAAAAAACGTGCGAGTTAGTCTCCCCATCTTACGCCAGCTTCTGGCTTAAATTCTAGAAAATTTCATTTTGTCTTCTTACGATACATTTCCCATGCATTGTAGCGTGGCACATTTGTACAAGTTTCCAAGGTATATCAAAAATATTTACAAACCGCAAAAATTTCCATTTAACACTCCAACCAGACAAATTGTTATTACGAGACCCTTTAATTTAGGAAGGGGTAAAATATATTGTTTTTCTTTGGACTCCAGTCATACTCACGCTAAGGACTGGAGAAACTTCGAAACAAAGAAATAATTAGTGTAATTTTTATAATAGCCTAATAGAAAACTCGGTAAAAATATGATTTTTTTCAGTCAAAATATACTTACGCTTAAGAAAATGTTAAGAAAGCGGAAAAAAGTATCAAAGAAATAATTGTTAATGTTGTACCCGAAACATATCTGATTACAAGTTTAAAAAGAATTAAAAACTGAATAGAAACATGAGAATGTTAGAACCAGAAACTCACAAAAACGTTTCAAACATTAAAGAAACTAAAACATAGATGAAAATATCATTTAAATATTTAAAAAAACAAATTTTTGATGTTTTCAAAAATGCTTTACTAAATAAAAGAATCAAAAGATAAACAATACTATTTTATGAAAATAAATCAATTTTATAAAACAAAGAAAAATATTGTAGGTAAAAAATTTAACCGTATTTTAAATATCAGTATAATATAAATATAAGGTCATTGAAAAAAAATTGAAGTTAATTAATTCTAAATAAATATTCACAAGAAATCGCGAATTCATGAGAATTTTACTGAATATCTTAACAATTTTAAAAAAATATCAGTAACTAAAGCTAATCATTATTGGAAATATATTTGATATTAAAAATATTTAACCATTTATGTTGTTAGCTAAATTACTTAACAAAGTAATATAAATGTTGTTATATTAATGATTAACATTCCAGAATTAGGAAACATTCAATTTGGTTAAAGGGCCAAGAATGAATAAAACTTCGTAACAAAGAAACCTTTTTATAATGACCTAATAGAAACCCTTTCAAGAATAAGACCATCTTTATTTGACATATCATCATCATAATTGACCAATTATTATTAGAAGTATTGTTGACATTAAAAATAATAAGATAAAACGTAAATAAACAATATTTTAAAGTTGAACATATACATTTTCTTACTCCTCATATTCTCTCCTCTCTCTTCCTAACCTAATTCATAAAATGCATACAAATACATAAAGTACAGTAGACGTGTTCAATAAATCATATAAAAATGCTGTAACACACGCATGCCTCCCTTTCCCCCTCCCATGAACAAACTTTGACCCTACCCGCTCCCATCATGCACATGGTGGGTCGCAAGGAGTTGAGGATTATATTATCTGCCAACCTTGCCACGTCCTGTATGTCGACACCAAGGCCCTCAACGAAGCTCCACATTGAGTTTGGTATTGTTACTCGAGTTCCTAACCAATATTAATAAATGACCTACTAAAGAAGACAAAATTTACTTATGGATGTTACTGCGAGACGAAAACTCAACTTAATATTTTGTGGGTCAAGATATAATTTTGAAATAAGGCGATAATGACCCTAGTGGTTGACGCCTTTGAATCCAAATATATGTATATATATATCTATATATATATATATATATATATATATATATATATATATATATATATATATATATATATATATATATATATATATATATATATAATTTATAAGGAGTTGGCTGTTGGCCGTGCTACGATATAGATCTAGCCAGTGACAATCTGTGATTAAAGTGATCAAATTACGTTAAAATTTATTGTAGTGGTATCTTTGACATAGAATTTTATAATATTGTTTAAAAGTAGGATAAAATTAGCTTATATTGAGCTAATATAAAATAATTAAATCAGCGGAGTGGAGTGGATCTGAGACAGGAAAACTACCCATCACCAGTGAGTAGACCTCTCACTAATTACTACACATTAAGTAATAAATACTTTTTTGAAGAACGAAGTAATAATTAAAGTTTTATAAAATAATTATAAACATTCAACAAACTGCCGATAGAAATAGAGGAAGTCGGCCTTCAAATTCGTAATAACAGTAACGAAACTAAAATAATAAAAGAAGCAGTTGAAAAAATGAATAAATACCCTGTTTGAAATTGTTTTATCAGAACTGAAAAGTGTTGAGATAAATAAGAAAGCTGAGCTTGAAAAGGTAAACCAGAATTTAAAAGAAAGAATGAAATATTCGGAGAATAAAGATAGAAAAAAAAAATTAATATTATTTAATGTGTCTGAAAAGGATGACTCTAATACAGAAAATATATTAGGGGCTTTGAAGACAATATTTTTGAGTGTAGGGATTAAATTACCAGAAAACTCAATAAATAACTGTTATAGGTTGGGTAAAAAGTCTAATGATGAAACGAGACCAATCTTAATTTCTCTAAATAATTATCTAATAAGAAAAAAATTGATGAAAAAAAATCTGGTGCGTGCAACACACATTTTTCACTTACCGCTTAACTTTGAATAAAAATTATTTTCTGGCCATGTTGGGCTATTATAACATTTTTAACTGAGCTATAGCTAAAAGATTACAGCTAACAAATCATAAATGCTATTAAAATAACAAAAGTCCTATTTATTATATCACCGGTTGATTATGGATTGTACGATCCATTTGTTTTGGATTGTACGGCTATTAGTTATTAAACAGTTATTTTCCATTGCAAAGTTTACTGAAACAGAATTAAGAGATTTGTATTGTCTGTCATAGACAGGTCAAAAGTTGTCACACTGATTGTGAGTAGATCCCGTTGGCATATCGCAATGGGAAAATTTATCAAATAATTCACTAATTTAATTTCCTAAAAGGTTACATAATGATTTTTCGGAATAAACGGAAGGTATATACCTAATTATTTAAATATCAGATCTAGTATTATTAAACTACAGTAAATATATATATATATATATATATATATATATATATATATATATATATATATATATATATATAAACTTGTTTATTGAAAAATATTACAATCTGTCTCTAGGACTTTATAATAGAGTTCACAGATCACATTCACACTCTTAAGTAAATATATTTAAGGTTATAGACGTATCCATGAAATATTTTTATATTTCACTTCTTCTTTCATACAAATACAATGAAACAGTATCTTAAACAATATCATTACCTTAAATCCATGGGTTTTAAATACGTTTAACAAACTTAAAAATATTTTTTTTAATTTACATTTAGTTAGTAAATTTCATTTAATTTCTTTGAAAACATGTGTTATACGTTAAATATTATTAGTTTTCAAAAATTATAGTTTTTATTCTTTTTGCCACTCTCTGTTACCTTCTACACCTTTCTATATTAGTTTTATTTATTTTTTCTAAAATGCTCCGCTTTCCAACGATATATTATACGTATGCCTTCTGACTATTATTTTCGGAGATTCATTTTCCACCTGGATAAGCATTTTTATTTTTTATTCTTTATTCAATTATCAAATTCAAAAGTTATATTTAGCATTTTTTCGTAACTCTTGATAATGAAAGATACTTAATTATTTAATATAAACCATATTAAAGGTACTTCAAAGAAAGATGCATATGAACATTGTGCATTTAAGCCCTGTAAAGTGACACCAACGGGAATAAAACTTAAATGATATTAAAGACCAGTTAATTATACAATGATACACCGAGTTTAATCAAAATCGTTAGAGCCGTTTTTGAGAAAATTGTAAACATGTCTTTCAGCGCCGATTTTAAGGAAAAAGTTGCTTGGACATCTAAGGAACATACCTATCTTAAATACGTAATATCACTTTCGTATGACTTTTCGTTTTTGAGCTAGGCTTACCACATACATACAAACACAGACCATTTTGCGGGAGTTCGTTAGTTGGACTTAGAGGACCTCAAAACGTGTTTATCCATTGAAAATACAGATTCGAACATTTTCACGATCGCAATTACATTACTATATTACTCTTAATATATATTACGTATATAATAATAATAATAATAATATAGCTATGTGAAAGTAAAAATTTTATAATCTAAGAGTATTTTAGTTGCTAAGAATTATTTTATGGTGCATAATCTCTTATATATTTTTTATGATTGTGGATTAATGGTTGACTTTCGTGAATAATGAAGAGAAGGATGGTTGTGGTGATCAGTCAGAAATAAGAAGGCGAAAATAAATAATAATATTTATTTTAACATTTGCCGACGTTTCGATCTGAAGTTCAGGCCTTCATCAGGGCTCCTCCAAAAGCTGACTGGAATAGAGTCGACTCCAGTCAGCTTTTGGCTGGTTGGTTCCAGATCGAAACGTCGGCAAATGTTAAAATAAATATCATTATTTATTTTTGCCTTCTTATTTCTGACTAACCACCCCAACCATCCTTCTCTTCATTATATATTTTATACATAGATTAGAAAGTAAAAGTTTATTGTTTAGTTTTATATATTATTGTAATATATAATGATAGTTCTACAATATATATGGTAAATTATTAAAAATGATCATCTGAAGAATTAGGTTGACGCATGAAAAATTCTTTGTATATTTACAAATAATCTCTTGTAAATCAAAATTTTAAGTTTTTTTATGATAATTTAAGAAAATGTACAAAGATTTTATTTATCTATCCATTATTAATCAGAAATTATTATACTAATTCAATCTTAAATATTTTATATAGTAACAGTATATGGTAGTCATAACCGTGGTCACTTTGTACTTTAGTATTGGTATTTGGATTTCTGATATAAATCCTTTCTTATTTTATCCTTAAGTTATGTGATTATTTTTTAATGTATTTTTGAAATAATATTACTGCTATAACATTACTATTACATTAAAAAAATAATAATTAATTTTTAACTTTATATTTTCAGCTTTCGGAGTTTATTGCTTCCTTCTTGTTTATTCATATTACGCACAGATAAAGGAAGAGAGACTTATGAATGATGCTCGTTTTAAGCCACTTGGTGAATAATCAAAGAAGTTTAACTATTTTCATCTTTGAAATATACATATATTTTTTCTATTTATAAGTGTAATTTTATTTTAAGAAAAATAATTTGTATTGTATTGATTGGAATTATATATTATTAATCGTAATAGCTTAGATCTGTGTGCTAACATTTTAAAGCTAGCTTTAAATTGCTTGATTGAAATTATGCAAGCCACTTGATATGTTTTTTCAAAATAAATTTTATAAATTTGCTATGTTATATACTTTGAAATATATTTTCATGTGAACTATTTATTATTATTTCTTCCTTTAACAGATCTTTGTGATTCTATTCAAAGATCTTTTATTTGGTGATTTATTTAGGCTTTCATTATACCTTGATTATAATGGTATTAAAATATTTAGGAACAATGGCGAATATTGTGTTTTTCTATAGCCGAGGGCCAAATTACAATTCGTTCACATTCTCATATAACACATGGCTGTCTTATGACTTTTTGAAACTTCAATTGAACAACTTACTTTTTTTATTTAGTTATTAATTATTAGCTATTAAGTTATTAATTTTTATTTAGTAGAATATTAATATTTGCCTTTACACAACCAGAAAAAATATATCTAAAAGATGGCTAATAAATATCTTGATCAAGATATGGTAGTTTAAAAGATATACCGAAATACATAAAAAATACGACTAATCCGCCGTTTTTAGCCCTCTTTAAACCACCCCGAAAAATATTTCAAAAATAGGTCTGGTTTGAAAAGTCATCTGCTATATGTCTAGAAGATATCGTTTTGATGTCGTCATCTTAAAGACATTTTCATATCGTCAAAAATATCTTTAAAACATATTTTTTCTTTTACATGGAAATAAATGGAATCGTCTTTTCTGAAATATAATTAATTTATTTAAAGACATTAATTAATTACACAATATATAATAGAATATAGCGGCAACTATTACACTATTTTATTTTCATCAACTTGCCTTTCGGGAGTAGATTGCCTTTTTATAACAGCGGTTTTACAACTTCATTCGTTTTATCGGCATCATTGAAAACAGTATCGAATTGTTATCGTGAAAACGATGTGACTTAAATATCTAATTCAAGACTTTACCGCTGATATTCCTGTCCATCCCGATACCTTCCTGGCATCTTTCGCTGGTGACACTGCTATCCTTTCTTCCAACTCAGATCCTGAAACAGCGTCCGCAAACTTACAAGGCACCTCTTCCTGATTGAACACTGGTATAAGAAATGGCGCATCAAGGTAAACGAATATAAATGTAAATGTAAACTTTCTGGTGAAAACAAATTACTGATCTACAAGACAATACTGAAACCCATTTGGACTTACGGACTAGAACTATGGGGAACAGCTAAATTTTCAAACAGCAAACGCATTCAATCCTTTCAGTCTAAAGTCCTCCGTACAATAGTCGATGCTCCCTTCTATGTAACCAATAAAACCCTGCACAATGACCTTAATATCCCATTTATTCTTGACCTTATCCTAGCCAAATTTCACCAGAACCTTTCTCATCACCCAAATCCCGTTGTACTATCTTTATCAAGCACCAGCCATCCCTACAATCCCCTTCGTAGGTTAAAGCGGCAGTGGCCATGAAACCTTTTGTAAATATGGATATTTTCGAGTTCCAGCAATGGCCAGATTCTCCACTCAAGTCATGAGTGTCTGTGGCTGTAGCGCTCTTACTCATCCTCCGCTGGTTTTAAATACCAGTGAAGTGGCTGAGGGAGAAGCGTGGGGATCTCCTAAGCCTCCCTTTTCCCTCCACATGTGGAGGGGACCAGGATTGGTTCGGAGATGACCTGGCTAATTGTAAATAATGTATATAGGTATGTTTTATCTAAGATGTTTATTTTACTTTTATTTCTATTTTTATTTACTTATGTGTATATATATTTTTCTTTTTTTTTTTCTTTTTTTTTATTTTTGTATATACGGTATGAATGTACTCTCTGAACTCTATTATAAGTGTCCTTAACTGTGACAAATTGTAATATTTCTCAATAAACTGTTTCAAACTAAAAAAAAATATTCAAGACATTTTTAAGACGACCATTTATATGTTAGATATTTTTTTACGATAACATACTGATAACTAAAAAATATATATCTTTTGAATGTCTTTCAGATATTGATGCTGGTAAGGGCTTTAAGTGTACATTTAATATTATTATATTTTTAAAAATATATTTCAAGAATTACATAGATATCATATTTTCGAAATGTCAATTAAATTACCTATTGTTTAAGGTCTGTAATTTATCGTTTCAGAATAAACTTCAGGAAAAGCTTTTTTTCGAAATACAATTCATCAAAATTCCAGATTTTTTTTCCTCTCTTCCTCGCCTTTCCAGCTATAGGGCGTTTTTGCGGGTCAGATCAATATGTATGTACATATTGTTCCATTCTTAAAAAGGAGGGAACAAAAATCTATTGAAAATTCAATTTTTTGTATGTTAGGTGTTAGCGCAACCAACGTTTTCCCTTTGTCAGAAGAACATTTAAGGAGAAACTTAAGAATGAATGAAGTTTATAAATTAAATAAAAAGATGGCCTCATGTTTGTGCGAAAATAGTTCGAAATTTCTTCATGATGCCGAGCGGTGGGGGCAAATCAGAAGATCTAAAAGATAACGCTTAATCCGTACGAGCGACGGTGCACTCAGCCGCAGTCCAGCACTAGTATGCAAGGATCCGAGGGCGTCCTCAGGTTAACAGATGTTTTAAGCTGACATAAAAATGGTAAGCTGTTTTTGCATAAAAAAGTATAATGTTGCCTGTTAAGGACTCATGAGAGTTATTTGCCTTGCCATAATTTTAAATTTGGAAAGTTGCCTAAACATTTTGGTCCATTGGACACGGTTAAATAGTTGTTTTTTTGTTGTCATATTAGCGATGTTTTGCCGTATGTAAAGGAGGAAAATTGCCTGGTAGGTTATGAGAGTTTATGTAAAGAGTGTCTATTTTCGGGCTGAAATTCGTAATTCGCCTATTAATTAGTTTTTTTTAAATATAACTTATGTCGTTTATTGCTTTGTTGGGTATTTGGGTACGCAAGAGTAATAAAAATTATTTTTTTTTGTAAACGTATATTTCCGGGCTAATATTCGTATTTCGCCTATAAATTCGTTTTTTAAAAAGTATATCTTACCTAATAGATCTAATTCTTTCGTTACGTATTTGCAGAAGTCAAGCAGTTTCTAGGAATTTTCAGGAAAGAACACTTAGTGACTTCCTGGAATTAAGTGACTTAATTAATACTTACGTTAATCCTTGCTTGTTTGCTTGCCGAATTGCCAAAGTAAAGGCTGTTGCCAAGTTTGTGGGAACAAGAATCTCAAGTAACAAACAATTCTCGTGCAATTTCGTTCCATGCTACCGCCAACTCACATGTACTTCTAGGTACTGCCTTAGTTTACCACTGATCTAATGAAAAAGTTGCACCTTCGTTCCCGGGTTAGTCCTCTTGTGTGTGGAGTAGGTAATACCTCCATATCTTCATCTTCTGCTGAGGTTAAAGTGAAGTTGGGTTCGACGAGAAATAGCAGTACATATCAGTTTTCAGCCAGAGAATTGCCCTGCATAAGTGGAAGTTTGCCTTCGTTTACCGTGTCCTAAGAAGTACGGAATAAATTTGCTTCAGTAAAACTTGGGGATGCTCGATTTCAAACGCCAGCCACCCACTCTGCTTCTGTGTGCTGAGATGTTCGGTGAGGTTTTAAGAGACCCTATTTTATTTCTTAAGGGTCAACCGAAAGCTATTCATACCTCATTAGGATGGGTATTATTTGGGCACACTCTCTCGGAAAGTCAAAGCCCTATACCTTCAGTACGTACTCTTTTTACGCAGACCAGCCCTTCTTTGCAGAAGGAATTAAAGCAATTTTGAGTAACTGAAGATGCATTTTGCGAAGATCACTTTATAAATACATGCACTCGTGGTCCCCAGGACAGATTCGTTGTTTTGCTTCCGTTTCGTTCTGACCAATCGATTAATCTTGATTTCTCTTGAGAGATAGCTCTACGCAGATTTAGAAAGTTGGAAAATAGATTTAGGAGAAATCCGGGATATAAGTCTGCCTATGCTTCCCAGATGGATGAATATATATTGGATGATGTCCGCCTCGCCAAGAACCCTCCATACGTCATGACCCATCATGGAGTCATTAAAGATATGACTGTATTTAACGAGATAGACCACGACATAACTGTATTTAACGGTTCGGAGAAGATGGTATGAGGGAACTCACTCAATGATTTGCTTTTGACGTGTCTGCAGCTCCAGAATGATATTGCAGAACTTATAGATCATTTTAGGTGATTTCCTGTGGCCTTAACATGCGATATAAAAATGATGTTTAGAAGTATCCTCATTGCTGAAACTAATCAGAACTTTTTACGTTCTTTTTTTTGGAGAAGTGAATATTCACAGACGATTCAGGAGTATGAGTTGGTTACCCTTCCATTTGGGCTGAAATGTTCTCCCTTTATTGCTCAGAGAGTCATTATACAGTTATTTCGGGCAGAAGGCCATAATTTTCCTAAATCTGCGCAGTGTCATGACCAGATTTATGTAGGTAACGTAATCACAGGTGCTCGCAATAGTGATGAGGCTCTAGATCTGTACAATGAGTTGATGGCCTTATTTGGAGCAGGTAGGTTTGAACTCAGAAAGTTCTCCAGAGATTCCGAAAAAGTACTTTCTGTTATACCCGACGGTAGTCAAGACATTCCGTTGTGTCTGGATGGAGATTCCTCGACTGTCAAGGTTTTGGGATCCTAAACTCGATTATTTCAGGTATTCAATACAGGAAAGTGAGCCTATTTTTACAAAGCGAGGTATTCTATCCTTCATTGCCAAAATTTGGTGACAAATGGATATATCAGTACGGTCATTTTTTCCGTTAAATACCTATTACAACGTTTGTGGCTGCTTATGTATTCAATGTGGAAGATTTCCTTGAAGAATTTTCGAGCTTGAAAAATGTTTGCCTGCCTCGTTGTATTGTCAGCCAGAATACATCATCCATGCAACTAATCGCCTTTTCAGACGCTTCCAAGAGGAATTACGGGTGTGTGATCTTCCTGAGAGTTAGATGCTCAAGAGAAGCTACCAAAATATTTGTTAAGGGCAAAAAGTAAGGTGGTCCCACTTAAGGTTCAATCAGTGCCTCGTTTGGAATTAAACGTTGTTCTTCTTGCCTCTAGACTACTTGCGTGTACTGGTTAACTTAAAGGTCATTTGAAAATTGAGGAAGTGAATTGCTTTTCGGATTCTCGTAACGTACTCTATTGGTTACAGACACCGCCACATGAACTTAAGATTTATGTTGCCTATCGCGTAGTAATAATAATAGTAGTATTAGAATCGCGTACAGATTTTGGAAGTAACAAATCCTAGTTGTTGGCACTATATTCATACAAAACAGAACTCAGCCGATTGTTTATCGAGAGGCCTCACACCTCACCGGATACTT